GGAAAATGGATGACTTCCTCACCCCGCTCCCCGCACTATACTACTCTGGCAGCACTTTCTGAGGACAGGCCATGCAGCAAACACAGGCAATGGGTGCACCTACAGCACAGGCAGGAGGAGCAGGAGTGGGCACAGCATGGCACAGAAGCTAGGCTGTGTGCCTATCCTTGTGCTGCAGCCTGACACAGGGCCAGCACAGCTCAGGTGTGCCAGTGCAAAACAAGAAAAAGCAACATTGCTTTTAGAAGGCCTATTGAAGATTTTTAAACCAGTAAAAGGAATTTGGCATTCTGATAATTCATTTAATCTTGATTTTCATTTGTATTCTCATGTTTGTTTGTTTTTTTTTTTCTGTTCGTTTGTTTTCCCTACAGCTAGGATAAGTCTTACTAAAATAACAACCCAAATATACTGATTTGGAATTAAACTACTATAATTTTTGCTGAAAGGACACTGTACATCTCCTTAAAACTGTTTAGCAATGATATAGTCAACTACAAATTTGGAACTTGATTTCTACTTGAGAGAATTAAAAGTACTATGCATCTTATTTCCAGATGAAAGTTTTTAATTATCTTCAGTTCTCACCCTTCGAATCTAAGAACAGTCATTATCCATAAAGAATGCTCAAACAATTAACAAAATTGCCATTTGCATTAAAGTTTCCTACATACTGAATTTTGTCTTTTGCTTTACATAAAGCAACACTGTTTCCTTTGGCATAGCCATATGCATTCTTTCATCAGTCATAAAAAGACATAAACAACAACAACGCACACATAATAAGCTAACAAAAACCCAACCAATCAACAAAAAAGCCAGAAAGAATTACTGCCCCTCCATCTCCTTATTTCACCATGTGCTGTGCAGACCAGCATTTACATGTCCCTACAACAATATTTGCTGCTGTGCATCTCTACCCACTCCACTTGTTTCTTCTCCAACTACCAACACAAGTCATTGAAATTCTGCTATTTGTCTGTACCAATAGAAGCAGCGTTGTTAACTTGGAAATATGAAAGCTGGGAAAAAAGATGCTGCTACAAGAAGAGCGAAGACAACAAATTCCTGCAGAAGGATAGGGCCACAGGAGGTACTACAGCACTGGCACTCCTCACTTGCACGGCAGCAAGACAGAAAGGGAGCACAAGAAGCAAAGACAAACATACAAAAATATGGAGCTGTGCCTGAGACAGCTTCTAGCCTTTGGTTTATGCACACTAAGACCTATCCCAAAGATGCCTATGCTGGACCTACCACACTATCTTAACTTAATGAATCTGTATTTGACAATTTTTCATACCTAAGTAACAACTGAAAGCATATTTAAATTAAAATCCCAAAGAAATGTAAAACCAGATACTCCTTTAATTCTTTTAATTCAAAGCAAAACCATATTTTAATCCTTATTCTGTAGCTAGAGAGAATACTACAACCACCTCATTCTTAAGCAGAGCAAGAAGATATTCACTGCAACATGGAGGAAAAACCAAAGGAACTGGAATTTCAGAGAAGGACTTCCAAGGATCTCATTAAATAGATGAATTAGACACAAAGAAGGCTACGGCATGAAAATCACAGGTTTTCTGGCATTTGCATTCACATTTCAACATTCTAAACATAAACCTGCAGTTGCTTTTGAAGCACTGAGTATAAAGCATTGTAAAAAGGGTGAAATGAAACACTGACCTAACACTTCGATGCTCAAAGGTACCACCGGACTGAGGAAACCATTGTGCATACAATGGGTGGAAAATTAATTCTTAGCTAACCCAAACCATACTCATAATAGTTTTATTATGAACAAAATATTTTATAAAGCAAAGCAGGCTTCAAATCACTTGTTCCTTTAAAGGAAGATTATCGTTTCTCAGGCAAGCTCAAGAAATTTCAAATCTTAAGTCTAGTTACTAAAATCAATGTACTCTGGATCTCGATTAAGTTTTTCCTAATTCTCCAAGATCAATCACCTGTGGCATGAGAGGAAGAACACAGGATGATCTCTGTAAACACAAAAGAAAAAGTTTTTCAGACAACTACAGTTTGGGGTTTCTGTTTTCTCTCAAAAGCTTCAAAACAAACAAATAAAAAACACTCAAAAAGTATTGTAACACCATTGAAAATGCAGCAATAACAGTGTAGTAATGAGCCTCAGGCTGCAGCAAGCAAGGATACACTCAAATGCAGCAGCCATAGTCACAGAAACAAAGGAAAAGATCTGCTTACCCTTAGGAGACCTCAAGTACACAGGGATCTCCAACAAGAAACCCTCACCTCCACTGCCAGCCCTTAAATGATGGCTGGGAAGGGTAGATCCTGGTTCCACCCCGTTGGGTCACTCAGGTGCATTGCTTGCACCTGAGCTCCCCTGGGTTGGCCCTGCCTTCCCACAAGGTGCTCAATCATTGCTTCAAGCCCTGAATTAGCATTTTCATTATAGGTATGATAGGAGATTTTCTTACAAGTTAAAAAAAAAATTATTATATATATATATGTGTATATATATATATATATATATATAACTTCTAACTATATATAACTTATAAATATATATATATATATATATATATATATAACTTCTATATATATATAGAAGTTTTGAGATCCAAAGTAAGAAACTTAATTTATAATGCATCTAGCATGCAGCTTGGCCTGTTAGAAATAAGAAGAAAACAAACTGTGTTTGATGCAATGAACTTGATTCCAACAAGATGCTAGAAAAATTAGACGCTTTGGAAAAAAAAATGACCAATGGGAAAAATTACAAAGCATAAATACATTAACATGAAATAAAGCTAAATAGTGTTTTTCAGTGAATTATAGTAGGCTAATTCATATGCAACTGTTTCTAACAGTCAAGCATTAGAAATGCCGATATCTAGACATACACATAAACTTAAATCCAGAAAAAAAAGAGGATAAAAATACTCTTCCATGGTATGGAAACTCTCTCAAAGCAGTATTATATAACTATATTATATTAATGGTAAATGTATCTTAAGATTTACAACAAAGTAAACTAGGTACTATTTTCTTTCTGCCTTTACTTCAGATATTACAGAAATTAAGTTAGGACTGTTCAAGTGCCACAGCTATATCTTCCTACATGTTAAACTTACAAAGATTCTTTTTATGTTTTAGAAAATAGTTTCTGTGATGTATACTATGTTAATCCACTGAAACTATATATAAAAGATGCTCATGCATCCAATACACTCACTACTGAATGTTACTATAGAATATGAATAAAAATATATATAATTTCCATATGTTATTTGGCATATTCACTATCATAATACATGACCTGTTAAACAGAACGCATAAAGGCAAGGGCTTCATGAAGAAATCTTTCAGGTGATGGGTGTAATAAAATAAATATTATCAACTTGGAGCAAATGTGCAGGTGATTAAAGCTGAAGGTCTATCTTTTCTTATTCATTAGACTTGATCCTATAAATGACCAATTATTATACAGTTTTTTGAAGGAATCATAGTATTTCTCACAGGACTGACGTAGGGGATGGGTTTATAGGTAAGGATGTAAGATAGCAGTTACTTTCCCACTTCTGACATCTGCATTTGGTGGGATATGCTGATCAAAAGATGCACTGCACGGGCAAGGTGCCATAAGGCCTGCAGAGAAGCAGAAGGTGGGTGAAAAGAAAGAGGAGTCACTGTCAGAGAAGCAGGATGTGAAAAGGGGTTCCTGTTGGCACGCTCCTTTTGCATGCCACTGGCAATACAACACAAACTGTCTAATAACAAGGAATCTGCTGAAACTCTCACCTGCCGGAGTTGTGTTATCCAGAAACATCAAAAATGCATGAACACATTTACAGCAGTCCTGTTCTGGAAACAAATTTTATCAGTACTTCACTGCCAGTATTCAAGACAACATTGGACAGGGCCTTGGGCAGCCTGATCCCAGCCTTCCCCCTGACAGGGGGCTGAGGATCTGTGGGCTTTGAGGTCCCTTGCAACTCAAACCATTCTGTGATTCTATAATTCACTGGGCTAAAGTGCTCCTGTATAGTATCCACGGAACGATCATATACATTCTATTACCTACAGAATAGGTAATATTCTATACCTATACGGGTATAGAATATAGGGGCATCTACGAGCCCATGAACATTACTCCAAAAAGAAAACTGATCTCATTGACAGCAATTACATATTCTATATAGATATAGGGGAATAATATTTAAAAGTTAGTAGGACCAAAATCATCACTGTGACAAATCTACCAAGCACCCAGTAAAAGAGCAGACAATTTCGGGTAAAAGCTCTTTTCTCAGCGCTTTCCAGAAGCATATGCATCTAGTCTCCTTTCAGAGATGATGCATCATACTGTAAAAAAAGACAATTTCACATAATAAAACACCACACAGCAGTTAAACAGAGGATTCTTACACTCAGAGAAAAAAACACATTCTAAAGACAGTGTAAAGCAACTCCCTCAACTGAGCTCTCCTGATCACATTTCTCCAATTTATAAAATAACAGGTGTTTGAAGATCACAAAGAGAAGAGCAGAAAGTAGCCCAGAGAAAACTCTGCTTGGCTCTCATCAGGACATGTAGAAGGAAACAAACTTTTGACAGTTTTCTAAGTCCAAACTACTGTGTAATGTGACAGGTAAGATCTGGGACCTGGTAGGCTCTGCTCACTGGTCAGAGTAGGGAGAGAGGTGGCAGCTCCCAGCAAAGCTCTGCCAGGTCAATTACAGTTCAGTTAAAAAGCAGAGAAATAACTCAACAGCCACATTCACAGACCTTTCTCCTAAAATATCAGAGTGACAAACAACATCTTTCAAAGTAGGTTCACATCCATGAAATTATGAACGTGTAACGTCTGCTCGCTTTAGCAAGAACAAGCACATAGGAACTGGCACCGTTCTGAATCTGACAGATAGTGCCAGGAAAATTCCACTAGGTGGACGGAAAACCATGCACTGAAGCACAGCTGTGAACTATTTTGAGAATCATGTTCAAGTGATACCTGAATAGGGCCTAGGAGGGCAGTTGTCTGGTTCCTATGTAGCAGTAACACAAGGGATCGTGAAGAAACAGCTACAGCTGAATACATTCTGTGCACCCTCTGCTGGTTTCAGAGCAGCAAGCAGCCAAATGTCAGGACACCAATTTAATAAAGCTGAAGCAAAATCCAGGGGAAAAAAAAGAAAAAGAAATGTCAACTGCAAGCAACAGTAAGAAGAGATACCAAATTCATTTTCAAAAATTCAAAAATAAATGTTCGCAAAAAACTTTTTATTTTATAAGTGCAAAATGAAAATTAATATTGAGTGAGTGGACACTACTTACTTGCTCAAGGATGTTTCATACCAAATTTTCTGCAAGTTTTCTGCTCCTATGCTTTTACTTGTAACTTCTAAACACTCGTTTAAATCTACTTGCATTTTTTTTTTCTGTAATAGTTCAAACTAAGCATTTGTATTTTAGTATTCTGTCCTACCTCAAAAGAACAAGTAGATCAGGTGAATCTTACAAACCTTAGCAAGGAAACTGAAGTCAGTGACTATATTGTATTTAAAAGGAAACCACCCCTTTCACCGGCAGCTATTTCAGCTGTTTCTCATTATGGCTTCAAACTAAGACAGACATCCTACTCACAAAGTAAAGAAAATAGGAGTCAACATTTAGTGTTTCTTTTCAGAATCACTTTCTTCTCTTTTGCATAGCTTTTACAAACATCGGAGTTTGTAAAAGCTATGTAAAATAGTAAAGCTATTGTAAAATTATTGCTTCGCTCCAGTTTGCAATACTCCTCTCAGCTGTTCACAGGTTTACACACGAATTGCCATGGTTTGCAAAGCTGCCTTAATCCAAACCTTTACGTATTTGAGATGAACAAAAACTAAAGCAAATCAAAACACCGTAGCGTAATAGTGCTAACACTCAACAGTAGCCTTACTTGAGAAAGCTTGGCATCAACTCTACATCACAACCGTGAGAACACATAAAATCCAGCAAATGCACATCCCTCTGAAATCCCTTCATTTCACAGTTCTTCAAAACTACAGTAAATCTTTTGGTTTCAAATACACATTTAATCAATTCCAGAACACTAAAGAACAGAACTTCACATCTCACGTTCGATGCATTGCTAACAAATCTGCACGTTTAGAAAGAGTTACAGAATATGTACTCTTTTGCATCTTTCCAAAAGGAGCTTCCACAGTGGTCCATTTTAATTCCAAAAAACTACGATCTCTTGAAAGAAAAATCTCATGATATTTTATCGTGTAACAATTTGTTACGATCTATGGATTTGATTATGAAAGCGTTCATAATTTTAGAGTGCAGAATAAAATACAGTGCAGTTAACTGAAAGAAAAGCTTTCCCCATTTCTATGCAATTCTGCTGATGCTTGAATTTTTTTTCTTATTTTTATTTTTCTTTTTTTGCATCCTCCTCCACTATATTATGATACACTTAAATGGAAATAAATGCAGAAAGCTTCAGAAGCTTCATTTCTAAAAGAAGAAATTAACTACTAAACAATTAAGGTATTTTTTCAAAGGTGCATTCAACTAATATACACACATTTGAAAGATAAAAGGTAAAAGAATAAAAAGAAAATAAAGCAAATTTAAAATGTTTAAATTCAATGCAACCAGAACATTTTTTGTTTTGGAAGTGCAGTGATCAAAGAAAGATTTGACAACCACCTGAAAACGACAAATTAAATAACACTGGCATGGAGATCCTCACCCTACCAATTACTTCTGGGTGGGGATATGCAACTCCCCTCATTGCTATGGTATTAAATTAGCTCTGTTTCACACAGAAGAAAATTAAACATTGAAAGACCAATAGTAGTTGTTTTTTGATTTGCTTATTTCAAGTTTGTCTTTTTGTTTTTTAAAGAGATAGAAAATGGTGCATGTGGCAGGGACAGCACATCTCACCTATGTCACAGGTGTGACCTAGTGATTCCAAGTACCTGTGTACCTTGCTACTTTCAGCATGGTTTGGGGTTTGCTTAGTGTTTCAGAAGTGATTGCAATGAATGACTCAGAGCTGGCCACACTTTATGAAAGGAATAATAACCAGCTGCTGGACTGAGAGCCCCCATAAAGATAAAGGTCAGTGAGGGGTCATTCGACTGCCTTTTCAGTCTTCCTCTATCCAAGGGCTGCAAAGAGAGGTTCAAAACCTGGATAAGGTAGCCTGACAACAGAGGCTTGCTCTTTTCACATGCTTGTTTTATTGCACATACCCTGAGGAGCTGATCTTCACAGAACCTGTAAATCTTTTGGGGACATACTGCATCTTTCCTCATTAAGGAAGCAAGAATGCAGTTTGAGGTGCCTGGACTGGACGCCACATGTATTTATACTTCTTCCCACATGTAGGTGGGAGAAGCATAGAAGAATAGTAAGAGTATACAAAAATTGTTTCCTCAAAACTCTGAAGAATATATTTAGTTTCAGACTGAAGACACTGGAAATCATGCTATAATAATCAGCTTCAAAATACTCACTGAAGAGACCTTTTGCTGAAGAAAACGGGGCTTGTTTAGATAGGAGATGTTCTGGGGGGACCGCGTTGTGGCCCTCCAGTAATTAAAGGGAACTTAGGAGCAGGAAGGGGACAGACATTTTATGTGGTCTGATGGTGACAGAATAATGAGGAATGACTTTAAACTAAAAGAAGGGAGATTTATGTTAGATGTTAGGAAGAAATTACTTTCTCAGAGCATGGTGAGACACTGGAACAAGTTACCCAAAGAAGCTGTGGAAGCCCAATTTCTTGGAGATGCTTAGGGCCAGGTTGAATGAGGCCCTGAGCAGCCTGAGCTGGTGGGTGGAAGTCCTGCCCAAGACAGGGGGTTGGGACTGGGTTCTCTTTAAGGTCCCTTCCAACTTAAAACATTCTATATAACTGTAGGAAAAGAAACAAGGGTGGAAATATAAATGGGTATTTTGTCACTCCAATAGAGATTGTGTGCCCAAGGATAACATGTGAAGTTCCGTATTTCAAGCTTTTCAGAAATTGAGAAGAATGAAATTAGAAGGATTCTAAAGGTTTCTAAAAGAGCCCTAAGAACACCTTGGTTAGGAACAGTGATGACAGCAGGATGCCAGTAGTTCCCAAGCATGAAGACTGCATAAGAAGCGGGAATGCAAAGATGAGCAGACAGTACATTTGAGGCAACCACCTACTAGTACTGCAGAAGTTCGGAACACTGCAATGTTGCAGAATTTGATTCCTGGCCCTTCTCTGGAAAATGGGACCTAGAAACAGAAATCTACAGAATAAACATATGAAGGCTGCTCCAAAAGTAATGCCTCCTATTTTACGATGTTGGCCCACAAGGCAGATGTCTATGGCAGTAGATGTTGAACTTTCCCACCAATATTCCACTACCTTTTGTTGACATGTGACAGATGCAGCAGAGGGGCAGTCTGACAAAACGGCGTTTGCCACAGTAGTGTGGATGAAGGTAAGGGGTGTTACTGAATTCCTCAATAATGGAAAGACTGCACCCACTGACATTCATCAATGCTTACTGAACGCTGATAGAGACCAAACAGTGGATGTGAGCACAGTGAGCTGGTGGGTGGTGTGTTTCTGAGGTTCACCTTCACTGGCACAGATCGCTACGAGCACGGCACGCAGCATGGTGTGCAGGCTCTTATTCATCGCTGGCAAAAATGCATAGCTAAACTGCTGGTGACTGTTCAAAAACCGCTCAAAAACTTCAAAAACCGTTTTATAGCTGAGAATTTGCTCCATCATACAGTGTGGTGCTTCTTGTATCTGCTGTAATTTCTATGGAAATAAACAGGAGGCATTACTTTCAGAGCAACCTAGGGGTGTGTGCGTGTGTGTGGGTATACATATCAGTAGTTTAACAATAACAAATTCTAACATATTGTCTATCTTCTCATATGTACCTCAAGTCAGTGCTAAACAATCATTCTAAGATGAGATACATAATTACAAAGTTATACTGTAAGATACTTAATAGGTCCCAGTTTTGAAATGCATTAACAAGACAGAAGAACAACAGTGAAATGGCTTAGGAAACACATCTGAAATACAAAATTTTCAGAGGGCTTTCAAAAATGAAGCCAATCGGTAAAGCAGATTGTGAATTAAAACCTTTCCCTAGCAGCTTTTCCCTGTGTCTTACTATTTTACAGATATAACGGTGGAAGCGTTTAGACAATTGCTTTCACATATTTCTTCCTTTTGGATTGATGTTTGATTTTCTGTCACAAGATCAGGGACATTCAGAACAAATTAATTCTCAAAGTTGGGAGAAGTGAAATACAGATAATTTTTTTGTTAAATTTCTTCATTATGAAAAAGAGACTAAATATTCTAGTAACAAGGAAAGGGAAGAAGAGGAGAAATGCAAGATCTTGGCATTCACTATGATGTGCAGCTGTTGCATGAGACAGTTCTTGAAGTCACTTTGTGATCTCAACTTTTCAAATTGCATTTAATAGCATAAACTGTTGTGTGTTGTGAGAAATGTCATCTTACTTATATTCCTGAATATACTGGAACCAGACTATCATGTCTCTTTTTTTTTTTTTAAAAAAAAAAAAAAATCATACCATCCATTCTTATTTCTATTCTGGTCAAACAGAAATGCAAGAATTTGTTGGAAAAGGAAATTCATAGATAAGAACTGGGCAGTGCATTCTCAAATGAAATAAGAAAAATTTATTAACCTAGTGCATTTTTTTTTTTTAAATTCTTTGATGATAAAGCTACTTAAATGTAAATCCCAACCTTTCCAAAAAGCAGTAAGAAGATGGAGAAAAGAAAACCAGTGCATACATATTGGATTCTAAACAAAGAACAGTGACCATGCAGTATAACATGTAGTATGGGGCTTCTCTGCACGCAGCACTGAAAAGACCTCCTTAGAAAGCAAGGTCATTTGGAAAGAGAAAGAAGGTAAGATCAGTGTGTTTAACTAGCTTTCTTTCTTTCACTTCATGAATTATCCTGCTGAGGATTATACAAATACAACACCTGCAGTTTTTTCAAATATTTCATACATCTACTCTCATAGATTGCACATTTCATACCATTCTACTCTCAGAATCTTGGAACAGCCTTTAACAGAGATGCCATGAATACTTCTTATGAATACTTTCTTACGAATTAAA